CCCAGGTGTGCCCAGGTGTGCTCACCTCGGCGGTTGGGCTGCATGGACTCCCCACGCCGGCTGGCCCCGTCCCTCAGGCTGGGTGGGACGTACTTGCCCGTCTTGCTCACCTGAGCAGCCACCGGCTCTGGCTCTGCAGGTGAGACAGGTGAGGGACAGGTGAGGGACAGGTGAGACACGTGAGGGACAGGTGAGAGGGGAAAAGGACAGGTAAGACAGGTGAGGGACAGATAGGACAGGTGAGAAGGGAAAAGGACAGGTGGGACAGGTGAGGACAGGTGAGAACTCTCAGGAGGGACAGGTGAGAAGGACAGGTGAGACTTCAACTGCTCCCAAGCCCTGTGACCTCACACAGAAACGGGAAAAAGGAGGGAAAAAATTCCCAAAATTCCCCCCAAAAAAATGGGGATTTGAGGTTCCTGGGAGTTTTTCCTTCTCACCTGTGGACAGCCCCAGGTGCTCAGGGGCCACCACAGGGACCCCTGGGGCCACCACAGGGACCTTTGGGGCCACCACAGGGACCCCTGCGGCCACCACAGGGACCTTTGGGGCCACCACAGGGACCCCTGGGGCCACATAACCGAACAAAAACAGGGAAAAAGTGGGAAAAAGGTGGGAAAAAATTCCCAGAATTTGGATTTGGGGTTCCTACCCCCAGGGAGTTTCTCCTTCTTCCCCGTGGACAGCCCCAGGTGCTCAGGGGCCACCAAAGGGACCCCTGGGGCCACCACAGGGACCTTTGGGGCCACCACAGGGACACTGGGACCACGTAACTGAACAAAAACAAGGAAAAAGTGGGAAAAAAGTGGGAAAAAAGTGGGAAAAAGGCAGGAAAAAGGTGGAAAAAAATCTAAAAATCAGAATTTGGGGTTCCTACCCCCAGGGAGTTTCTCCTTCTCCCCCGTGGACAGCCCCAGGTGCTCAGGGGCCACCACAGGGACCCCTGGGGCCACCACAGGGACCTTTGGGGCCACCATGGTGACACCGGGGCCACATAACCAAACAAAAAC